CAAGGCTATGGTTTTCCCAGTTGCAATGTATGGGAAAACCATAGCCTTGACTATACGCACTTTTGTTGGCAGGGTGATGTCTCTGCTTTTTAGTATGCTGTCTAGATTTGCCATAGCTTTCCTCCCCAGGAGCAAGCGGCTTTTTAATTTCTTGGCTGCAGTCCCCATCTGTGGTGATCTTGGAGCCCAGGAAAATAAAATCTGTCACTACCTCCATTTCTTTCCCATCTATTTGCCAGGAAGTGAGAGGACCAGATGCCATGATCTTAGTTTTCTTAATGTTGAGTTTCAAGCCAACTTTTTTGCGCTCTCCTCCTTCACCCGCATCAAGAGGCTCTTTAGAATATGGCTAATGGTAGCAGTCCATGTTTCCTCCTCTTTTCTTTATCCATCTAATTTGCTAGGGGTCACAATATGAGAGAGAGTAGTAGGACCAGTTGTTAGGGTAATAGCATCCTCAGAGTTTATGCATTGTCCTTCAACCAAAGCAGGAGCAGGAGCAACTTACAAAGAGTAGCAAGCAAGAGTCAAACCCTTTTACTATACAAGCATGGAAATGCATGACCATCATAGACAGAGAACAAAAGCAAACATCCAAGAGCCAAAGGACTATAAACAGAAAAGCTACATTTAAAAATGGCCACTGTAAGAGGCTAATTGCACCTGACCTGAGAGGCAGTTTTACAAATGAGGAGGTGTGGAAAGAAGAGCTGCTGCTGAAGTCTTCACCCTAACCCAGTCAAGGCAGTCATGGATCCCCTTCCAGGCAGGAAGCATGCCCAAGGGCAATGCTCACTGGATTCCTGTTGACCAGTTCCTGGCCCTGGAACCTGCCCAGAGACCCAGAGTTTTCTAACCCTAACCTCACACTTCACCCAAAGCCTAGCCCAGGAGCAAAATCCCTCTCCTCCTGCACATGATGTCTGACAGCACCACTGAAGGTTTTCTTGTTCTGCCCTCAGTCCTATCTATGCTTACACTCTCAGGGCCCCTGAAGCTGTACAGGGTCCCTGATTTGCCTAGCCCTAACCTGAGTCTTAACCTTAACCAGAGAATGGGGATAGAATCCCTCTTCACTCAGATAACACTCCCAAAGGCAGCACTGAGGGAGTTCTAGCAAGCAGCTTATTCTGTTTAATTTAGTCTAGTTCCAGGCCCTTGGGACATCACAGGAGCCCAAGTATCCCTAACCCAACTTTAGTCCTAAACTTAACCCTAAACCTAACGCAGGGGTTAAATCTCTTTCCACCCAGAAGCAGAGCCCAAAGGCAACTCCAGGGGTTTTCTTCTTGAGCACTCAGTCTGCCTGCCCAACAGAACCGCCAGCTGCGCTTGTCCCCAGTTGGCTAACCCCAACCTGAAGCTTAACCCAGCCCTAAAATGGAAAGCCTTCTTTTCTCCTCCTCCCTGTCCATCAGGCTGCAGGGGCTCTTACCAAACTGCTTGCCTGCACAGGACTTTGGCTGCGGGCCCCCTTAGGGACCCAGGGGGCTCTCCCCCGGTCTACGCCTGACATACGAAGCTCAACAGCTCTGACTTCTCCCTCAGTCAGGCTCCGTGCCTGTGGCATGAACAATTCCAATGGCACACAGGGTGAGGAAAGTGGTAGTCGGATTAGAGCAGCCTCTGAACTCACAGAGCTCCGCTTTCTTTTGGCCACACGTGTATTTGTACTCCAAAATCAATGCAAGCCAGAACTCTGCTTTTTAGCCATGCACACATTTCATCCACAGACCGGTAAATGGATTGAAATCTGGGCAGTTGAGGAGCTGTGCCTCAGGGGGCAGCACAGGCTTGGCATGCAGGAGGCATGTTTGATCTATGGCATCCCCAGGAAGGGCAAGATAAACTGCTCGAGACCCCCAGAAGCTGCTTGTAGTCATTGTGGCTGAGATGGACAAAGGGCTGATTAGAAGCAACTGCCTGTTTTCTGGCATTTTTGCTGCCTTACTGTGATGTGATTTTATATAAGATTTAGCATGCAATCCCACTGCTGGTTAGACATGGAAAAATGGTTATGTTCTGCAGCTTCCATGGCTGGGGGGGGGGGGGGGGGGGGGGGGAGGGAGGAGCAGGCAGAAGGGCATGGTGTTTTATCATTGCTTGGTGCTGATTTTTGTGAACTGCTTTGTGTCCACCTTTGATGGTGATAGATAGGATCTACCTTATTAAAATAAACCCACTTTTCAGCATTTATATTCACCCCCTTCAAGCCAGGTCTCAAGGTGGCCAGCAAATAAAGACATGCACATGTTTGCCAGTTTCTAAAACACAAGAAGAGTTATCCATAAAGCAACTAACAATTGCAGTTAGATACAAATTTGCAGATACAAAATTTCAGCCACATGCATTAAGTGCTGATTTTATAGCATACTTATTGTTCTATTCCACTATTGGATGGAATCTCCAGTTGGAAATAGAAAAGTGGTTCTTACCTTATGCAGTGTTTATGTTTTGCAGTGGAGGAAGGGGAAGGCTTATAGTTTGGGCTCTGTGACAGCTGGCAGTGGTGCTGACTTCCATCTCCAAAAAAGGAGCATCACCAACACCTCCTAACAAGTTCAAAATACAAACTTCCGTGGATGAGCATGGGAATCTCCACTCCTTCTAGCTGCTCACAATTAGCTGAGGTTCAGTCCCTGATGTGTTAGGAGGCGGCAGATGTTCCTAACCAGGACCACAAAGTGGAGATCTTGCCCCAGCGGCAGAGGAAGATTTCTGCCCTAGTCTACTTCCAGCTGTGTGCAGGACTGTCCTGCCCATGGGCTTCTGCTTTCGGCCAGATCCTCACTGCATTTACTCAGAAGCAGGATTTCAGTGGCACATTGCAGGGGACGGACACACCAGCTTTCTTCAGATCCACACACACACTTCAGATCCAAAGTCCAAACAACCTTAGAGCTGGCAAGCATTTGCCCATGGAAATCAAATAGGGCTATCCTCAATATAGGATCAGACTGTCAGGCAGTATGTCCATTTTTCAGGCTGAAAATGGAGAGAAAGAACAAAGCAAAGCTAAGGGAATATCAGAAGGATTTTATCTAGTGTTTTCCCCAGGAATTTAAGCTGGTAGAGATGCGAATTTTTGGAGGGTTGAAGCATGTGACTTTGCAACCTTGGCAAAGTAGGTTCCTCATGAAAAGAAGGGTGGACAGCCAGTGGCCACCAAATGGAGCCGACTTCCAGCCCCATGAGTTACGGTTGGGACACGGTGAATTGTAGTCGCTGCTATCCCAGGATGGGCGCCGCTTCCTCCCCTTTGCTGTAAGCCACCATCAGACAGACAGAAAATCATTTCACAGCGATGCCCTTTTCATTAGCTTTCTTTAGACTTAGTTACTTTTACACCATTCTTGTTGCAATTTTACAGAATTCTTTGAACAAACTTCTCCAACACGGAGCATTTCTTCTGTCAATTTTTCTGTCAATTTCTTCTGTGAGCTCATTCTCATCATCAGAGCTGAGCTTACTTCTTTGGCAATATAAAACTCTATTCCAGCATAAGAAAGGAGCATGAACTGTTATTTTATTTGGGCCTAGCTGAAGACTTGATTTGGTTTGTTTGTTTGGACAGGGAGCTGGATGAGCAGGAAGAAAACAATAAGTGGAAAATGTCAGAAAGGGGTTGATGTCCATTCTTGTGCGTGTGATCTGGGAAATGCAGCAAGACTGAGATCGTGCACAGTGAACATTCTTCAAGAAAAAAATGGCAGTGTAGCATCTGATGTGGCTACCTTAGGAAAAGGGAGGGCTACCTGGGAATGCAGAGGAAGGAATTCCCTAGTTTCTTCTTATAGGGGAAAGCAGTTAACAATGAAGGAAATCCTCACAGCCCTTTCCCTATCCGAACAGGCCCACCTGATTTCCCACACCCCCTTGCTGTCTTCAGACTGGAGGTGCCACTAAGTAGTTGGCCTGAGCACCAGAGGCCAAAGGAGCCCCCCAGAGAGGGGCGGGGGGGGGCTTCCTGGCAGGAGACGCCAAAGTCGCTTCGCTCCTGCTTCACGAAGGCGCAAAGGCGTGAGACAGCCTTGCGCAGGAAAGGGCAGGTGCCCGAGCGCTGGCGAACACCCAGACAGCCCACGCTCTGCTAAGATGCGTTCGTCTGCGCACATACGTGCGTATATCCGGGAGCTGGCCGCTGCCCGAAGCTCCGCCAGGGGGTGTCCTCCACTCCTCCGCCGGAGGGACAGGACAAGCCGCCGCTTCCCCAGCCGCCCCCTCCCTCGCCCTGGAGGCCGAACACCTGCCCAGGAATCTGCCGCCCGCCCCTGAGACGCTCCCGCTGATGGGGGCGCCGCTTCGCTCCAATAAAACCCCGCGCCGGGCGAAGGGCGGCCAGCAGCCATGCAGAGAAGCAGCCCCGCCGGGGCCCCCGCCCTGCACCTGCTCACCTCCTACTTCATCGACAGCATCCTGGGCAGCCGCGGCCCCGCCGCGGGACACCACGGTGAGGGCGGGGGGGGGGGGCGAGATGGGGTGGAAAATCCGGGGCGCCCGGCGGGGGGCAGATCGGCCGATCCAGGGCGCGCCGTCCATCAAGCCAAGCAGCAGGTCGCGGTGGTGGGGGGTGTTTTATCCTAATGCTCAGTGGGACGGACGTATTTCGTGCAGAGGAAAACATGCGATCCGTTTTCGTGCAGTTCGGAATATGAACTTTCTCCGTCCTATTATTTTTCATTCGAAAAATTTGGGTAGGCACTCGTGGGTTGGGGATAGCGGGCGGGGGGCGGGTCCATCTTCTTGTGTAATGGAAAACAATATTTAAACTACGGAGGGCTGTTTTCAGTCCAACGCTCAGGACTGGAGGAGTCCTCCGAAAAGCTTCTCCCAAAGCGAGGGGCGGCCGGACGCAAGCAGAGCCCCGCGCGCCTCCCACCAGGCTCTGCCCGGTACAGGTTCAGGCGTTGCCCCGGCCCGCTTTGCCCCTGCTAATGCGACTTTCACGCCGAAGCAGATCTCCGGCCCAGCGGCCTCCCCAGGCAATCCCGCCGAGTTCGCACGCGAAGGACTTCAGCGCCCGCGGGGGTTCCCGCTCCGTCTTCCCCGGCCGCGCCGTCGGCGTGGGCAGCCGCTTTCCTCGGCCTGCGCGCGTCGCACGCTCGCCACCCCCGCCCCCTTTTTTGAAACCTCGGAAACGCTGCCCCGAGGAGCTTCCATCCCACTGCCATCCGCGGGGTTTGCTCGCGGGCGTCGTCCTTTCGACAGCCCCGCAGCCTGCGCGGCGAGGGGCCTTCCGAGCGCGGCGGGCCCTCCGTCCCAGGCAAGGCAGCGCGCGGGCGGCGGGGCGGAGGCCCAGGCCGGGCCAGCCGCGCCTGCATCCCCGAAGGCAGCCCGGAGAGCTCACAGCCGTTTCTCGCCCCCCCTCCCGCTCCTCCTCTCCTCCGCACCCTCCCCAGGCGGGGACCCCGCGGAAGCTCGGGCGCCCTCCCGAGGCCCGCTGACGGCGGCGGAGACGCCCGTCGGACTGCCCGCCAGCGCAGGGGACGAGAAGGAAGCCGGCGCGGGCGGGAGCGTCGACGGCGGCGCCGGGGCGGCCGGGGGCGGCAGCGAGGCTCCCGCGGCGGGGCCGCTGAAGAGAAAGCAGCGCCGCTACCGCACCACCTTCAGCAACTTCCAGCTGGAGGAGCTGGAGCGCTCCTTCCGCAAGTCCCACTACCCCGACGTGTTCACCAGGTAGGCCGTCTCTCCGCAGGCTCGGGCCGCCCGGGCGCCGGGGTGCCGCTAAGGCGGCGGGTGAGCGCGCGTGTTGTCTTCGCGGTATTGGAACAGGCCTGGCCCGGCCGCCGACAAGCCCCGTTCGGAAAGTAGCTGTCCAGCCATGCAGGTGCTGAAAACAAGGACGGTCTGGCGCCAGTGCCACGGGGGGGCGGGGGGTCTCCATGTCCAGGCAGTGCCCCTGGAATGCCAGTTACCTCGGCCTGATCCAGCAGGGCTCTTCCTAGGCTCTTCCAGCGGTCCGCACTCTGGCTGTGGGACCCCGTGGAACCACAAGGAGAACGCCCGCAGTGACCAGGCAGGTTGGGAAGGGGGAAGGCACTTTCTTGGGTTAGTAGGTCCCAAGTTGTTCAGGGCTTGATATGCCAGACAGAACCTTAAACCTGGCCCAGTAGCAGCACACTGCCAAAGGAGCAGCTCACCGAAAAGCAGCAGCTGCCTGCTGCAAGAGTACTAGTTCAACAACATCTGGAAACCAGAGCTTGGGGATGCTTGCCAGGGGGCAGCAAGGGCAGCTGTATATTATCCTTTGACCGATCGTAGGACCATCTGATGCAAAAAGGAAGCGCTGCCCCCAGTTTTATTCTGACTTATAGTAGAGAAGGGGGGATTTCAGTAGGTGCGGCTTCTCTGCAGCAATGAGAAAGGCTGCCTGTCTTCTCTCCACTCCATAAGTAGTACATGAGTAGCAGCTATTGCAATTGGCAACTTTTAAAAGGAAGTTAAACAGCTGGATGGAGAATAGGGTACACAACTAATATTTTGCTTTGTCCATCCTCCATAACTGCTATTCCATGCTTTAAAACTGCATCCATATTCCTGACACATTAAAACAGCTACAGAACTGTTTGCAAGCCCTTTGAAATTGAAATAAAATACTCCAATCACTTGCAATTTTGCATTTTAAACTCAGCTTAATTCATAGTGCCATCAGGGAAAAAATAGAGTTTGTTTGTTTTTTTCCCTGTCCCAGTGTTCATTTGAGGTCCCCTAAACATTTTGGCCACCTAATGAAAAGGAAGGACTCCCTGGAGAAGAGCCTAATGCTGGGAACAATAGATGGCAAAAGAAGAAGGGGATGGCAGAGGATGAGGTGGCTAGATGGAGTCACTGAAGCAGTTGGTGTGAGCTTAAGTGGACTCCGGGGGATGGTGGAGGACAGGAAGGCCTGGAGGAGTGTTGTCCATGGGGTCACAATGGGTCAGACATGACTTTGCGACTAACAACAACATCAACAAACTTCATGACAGACCAGGGATCTGAACTTGGGGTTTCCCAGCCCTTGATCCACACCTGAACGCTGCACTCCCGAGACCCTTGACTGTATTAAACCAGAGATAATAAGCAGTATAAGAAAAGGCTTACCAAAAACGCTTCACTAGAGAAACTAAAACATCTGTACCCAGTCCTTGAATTATTTTGTTTCATCTTCACTGTTCAAATTTAGTTCCAAGTCTGGTTCAAAAAGTTTAAGAAATTGGAGGCAAAAACACAAAGACCAGAAAAAATCATACCGTCTCCAACCTGGCATCTTTCAGCCTAAGGTGTGGTTTTGTTTTGCTTGTTTGTTTGAAACCTGGACTTTTAAATCCAAATAGCCCATCTTTTTGAAGTTTTCCAAACACGGATCAAGCTTTCCGTTCTGCAGCCCACACCAGTGGGGATAGAAATCCATGCAGCACTTAAACTTGGCCAAAACTCCTATCAGTGAAACAACTCCATCTTGCTTCCTTGTTTTACTGCCCCATTGTGGTTTGCCTCTATAGTTTCCCCTGTGCCACTTTTTAGTCTTTAAACGTCTTGGGACAGGACACAGTCTGCAAAGCTCCATGCGTACTAATGGGGCACAATGGGCTAGTCAGAAGTGGTTAACTTTAAGTCCCATTCTTTTCAATGGGTGTGCTTTCAGCAGAACATTGGATCCAACCCAGTATAAACCAGTTGCCCCCTGCATGGCACTGGTCAGATGTTTTGGACTACAACTCCCAGAATTCCTGGCCATGCGGGCTGGGAGTCAGGAGTCCAAAATATCTGGAAGTTGTGGGGCGTAGACTACCATGTATTATTCTTAATCATTATGAAGGTGATGATGGCGATGTTTGGTTTTCCATTTTCAGGGAGGAGCTTGCAATGCGGCTAGACCTCACAGAAGCCAGAGTCCAGGTAAGCCAGAGCACAGACCTCTATACTGATAATGTTTGAGACAAAGCTATGTCCATTTCTGGATGAGAAAATAGAAAGTGAGTGAGTATCTGCCATGGCGTGGCTACCGTGTTCCCCCTCCTGGACCGGTTTGCTTTTGTGGAGGGAGCTCCAGGAGCATTTCAACAGATTCCCAAACTAGCGCTCTCCTTGAATCCTCTGTAGATCACTGCAGCCTTAGCTCATCTTCTGCCATCCCTTATTCCCAGTGACCCCATTGTGCGCGAGCTCGTAAGAGCCTGCTGTACCTGAGCAAGGCTCCATCTTGTCTGGCATTCTGTCCACACAGTGGCCAACCAGCGGCCCACAGAACCCCACAAGCCCCTCAGCAGTGCAGCAGGCCCCTCTTGCCCAGGTTCCAGAGCAAGTGGGGTGCACAGGCAGACTGCCTCTGATACTGGAGTTGGCATCAAGCCATCAGGTCTACCGGCCATGGAGAGCATTCTGCTCTGTCCTCCTTTTAAAGACATCCAAATTGGCGGCCATCATCACGTCCGAAGGAAGGGAATTCCATCGCTGAACTATGCACTGTATGAAGGCATTCTTCCTTTGATCTTTCTGAATCTTCCACCAATCCACTTTTGGGGTGACCTCCATTTCTCCTACTCTATCAGCTTCAACTCCCTAAAAAAATCTGGCTCCCTATAAACTAGAGAGGGCAGAAAGTTGTGCAGGATCTCCTGGTGATCTGCAGTCATTTCTGATCCTGAAGACCCCCTACCTGAAGACAGAATGCTGAAAATGAAGGCTTCTGGGATGCAGACCTGTGTGTAAAAGGACCATAAAACCCGAAAACAGGAGGATACCCATTGAGAGAATCTGGATTCATAGAAATGAAGCTAGGAATAAAAGGAACATGGTAGTTGGAGTCTATTACTGACCACCCAGTCAAAGAGAATATGAGGGTGAAGCTTTTGAAAAGCAAATTGCCAGTTTTTCAAGGAGGCATGATCTCATCATTCTGGAGGATTCCAATTTCTCTGATATCTCTTGGAAGACAAATTCTGCCCAACACAGCCCCTCCAAGAGACTTCTAACATGTGTTGCTGAGAACTTCCTCCAACGGAAAGTGGAGGAAGGAACAAGAGGAAAAGCTATCCGTGACTTGATCCTAACCAACAGGGAAGACCTGGTGGACGAAGAGGCAGCTATGGGAAGTGAGCAGGCCATAATCGAAATTTTGATTCTAAAGGAGACAAGCCAAGTATTGCCAAACATGTACCCTGGGTTTCAAGAAACTGCAGAGAAGGCATCAGGAAGGCTTAAGCTAGGAACGAGCTGAGGCTTGTGAGGGATGCTAAAAGCACAAAAAGCCTTCTTCAGATTCATCCAAAGCAAAAGACAGAGGGTTCAGGAAATGGGTTCAATGAATCAATGTAAATGGCAAAATGATAACAGATGACAAAGAGAAGGCAGAAGTGCTCAATTCCTACTTCGGCTCAGTTTTCTCCCAAAAGAAGATCTATACCTTCCTCATGAAGGGGAAGTACGTCCTGATGGCAGCTCAAGGTTGATAAGCAAATGGTCAAGGATCCTCTAATTGGGTTGAATGAGTTCAAATCTCCAGGGCCTGATGTCCTCCATCCTAGAGTAATAAAGAAGCTGGAGGAAGAACTCTTTTGAGAAATCATGGAGGACAGGGGAAGAACCTGATGACTGAAGAAGAGCTAAAAGAAGAAGAATCTGGGAACTAAAGACCAGTCAGTCTGATATCAATCCCTGGGAAAATTCTGGAGTGGATTATACAACAGTCAGTCTGCAAACACCTTGAATACAATTCAGTGATTACTGTAACTCAGCATGGATTTCTCAAGAGCAAATCCTGCCAGATTAATTTGATTTCGTTTTTTTATTGGGTAACCTCCCTGATGAACTGTAGGAACACAGTGGACACAATCTATCTTGACTTGAGCAAAGCTTTTGACAAAGTGCCCCATGATATTCAGATTAGCTAGCAAAAAGTGAACTAGATGGAACAACCGTCAGGTGGATTCACAGATGGCTACAGAACTGGACCGAAAGGGAGCTCATCAATGCCACCTTCTCAGACTGGGAAGAGACAACAAGTGGGGCACTAGAAGGTTGGGTCCAGGATCCAGCACTCTTCAACATTTGTATTAATGATTTGGATGAGGAAGGAATGAGGAGGGAATATTATCAGACTGGCAGATGACATAAAACTGGGTGGGATAGCTAATACCCTGGAAGACAGAAAGATATTTCAAGGTGAACTTGACAGGTGGGAGTGCTGGGCTGAAAGCCACTGAATGAAATTCAGTAGGAAGAAATGCCATGTTCTGCATCTAGGAAGAAGAAATTAAATTCACAGTTACAAGATGGGGAATGCTTGACTCAGCACTACTGCAGGTGCGAAGGATCTTGGAATTGTCATAGATCACAGGTTGAATATGAGTCAACAATGTGATGTGGCTGCAGAAAGGGCAAATGCTATTTTAGACTTCATTAACAGAAGCATCACTTCCAAATCAGGTAAAGTACTACGTCCCATTTATTTAGCACTGGTTAGGTCTCATCTGGACTGCTGTGTCCAGTTCAGGACACCACAGTTTAAGAAAGATGCAGACAAGCTGGAAAGGCTTCAGAGGAGGGCAACAAGGATGATCCAGGGATGGGAAACAAGGCCTTAGGAGGAGTGACTGAAAGAATTAGGCATGTTTAGCCTCAATTAGAGAAGACTGAGGGGAGATATGATAGCAGTCTGCAAGTATCTGAAAGGCTATCACAATAAGAAATGTCAGGATCTCTTCCCAATCATCCCAAAGTGCAGGACATGGGGTGAAGGGCTCAAGTTACAGGAAGCCAGATTCCAGTTAGTTATCAGGAAAAAAATCCCAGACTGTTAGAACAGTATGACTGTGGAACCAACCTAGGGAGGTCGTGGGCTATCCCACACTGGAAGCATTCAGGAGGCAGCTGGACAGCCCTCTGAGAGGGATGGTTTGACTCGGTGTTCTGCACTGAGCAGTGGTTGAACCTGATGGCCCTCTGGGCACTTCCAACTCTATTGTTCTATTATTCTATGAATGTGCCCATGGCTCCCCAGGTTTTCTCTTGTCTCCCTGACTATCAAAACATGCAATAAAAAGAATATGGGAAGCAAGCTGATTGCATTCACTAAGTCATTTTGTAAAACACCAGGTATATCAGGCCTACAGAAATTAATAATGATTCCATTTGCGCTTTTTTCTCTGTCCTGATACTGCTTTTCATGAGTTTCCTTTGCATTGAGGTCAGCTTCTTAATGGGTTTCTAACACATGCTTATATCTTAAATCTGCATAATTCCAACATGGTGTCTGTGGACCCCACTTGTGGTACCAGCCAGCCTCCCTGACCCTCCTAGCTTCTACCTGAAAGGTTTCTTGATGTGTTGAGGGGCTAATGGGTTGCCCCACATGCCACAAGGAGGGCTCCCACCTCCTGCATCATCTTCAGCTCCAGGAATGCCTCTGAGCATTCTTAGAAGATAAAAATAGTAGGACCATTGTTTTGTAGCGTGCTCACCTTCCCAGAAACAAGGCCAGGGTAAGCTGGGTTAATGCGGTGTGCCCTGGTGATAGAATGGGGGGTGAGAGAAAGTACCCTGCACTGCCTGCCTATTTATTTTATGTTTTGGTCTGTGCGTGGCACATTTTTCCTGGTCTGTATGTGAAGCAGGAAGTTCCCCAGTTCACCTCCAGTTTTCCCTCTGGAAATGAGTGTTTTGACATACCTATTGGGGCAGACATTTTGTGAACACGCAAACCCATCCCATGGCAGACATTTTGTGAGAGTGTTTGCTATGCTCTCTCAAAATTCCGGATGTGGCCAAAACAAGGCCTAGAAGTTTCCTCTCTCCTAAGTTGTGGTAAGGAGAACCACATGGTAAGGTTGCAATTGTCAGAATCTCTGCAGTTTCAATTTGTGAAGGGGAAATAAAACTCGGGTTCGTGGGAAAGATCAATCATCATGACCATCTGTGGCTTTATTGTTTGGCCCAGGTTCCCGCGGTAGACTCACGATAATGCATTACTGGTCAGGCAGGTGAACTCACTGCAAAGTTTCAGTACAACTACAGGATATTTTATACCCTCCAGGTCACGTACACAGAGCAACTGATGACAGAATGCAGACATTACAATAAGATTTTGAGGTCATCACATACAGAACAGATAAAGGAAGATCAGCCAATCATACAGTGACAATGAGATTACAATATTTCTAATTGCAGTGTATTGACACTTTAGTTGAGTAACTTGAACCCATTTCCACATCTGTTTAAACATGTAAATTCAAGCTACTGAGAAACTATTCATGAACTCATAAGCTCATCTAGACTCAGACCCTAAGTAATGCATCCACACCATTCTGAATGGCCAGGGCACATGGAGCCCTCTGGGCTAGCAAAAGATACTTCCTGGTAAACTGTGAATTCCAACAATAATTATTTAACCATTGTGAAGGTATATAATGTATATTTGGACTGAAAGACCTGTCTACTGTAGCTTACAGCTAAAGGTGAGAGAAAGGAGCGGGGGAGGAATGCTATTTTAAACAGTGACTTAGTTTGGAAAGCTGGTGCTTTTGAGAAGGAATACAGGATTGATTCCTCAATGCAAAAGTACACAGAAGCAATATTTTTCTGACAGGATTTATCCAAATTTTCCCAACACAATCTATCACAGTCGGCATGGCATACTGTTATTAAATCAATTTCTCCATGCATCTCTGAAGGTCTGGTTCCAAAACCGAAGGGCAAAGTGGAGGAAACGCGAGAAAACCGAGATTTTAGGAAGCCTGCCCAGCCTCTCCTTAATGCATCCCTTGGGCCTGTACTTGGACATTCCGCTGACTCAAGCACCCCTGCTGGACCCCACGTGGAGATCGGTGCCTGTGACCCCAACATTCAGCCCTGCAGCCTTGACCCCCTTTGGCCTCAGCAGCCTCACCTGGACCTCCCTTTTCCGGAACCCAATTTTAAGCCCTCAGCTCAACAGGTAATGTCGACCGTGCTAATGCAAAGATTGCAGCTGGGGATGACTTCCTATATGTGACAGCCTGACCCTGTGCAGAGTTAGGCATCCTTTGAACTCGCCCAGTTGCCATGAATTGCTCTGTATCTGATTCTGCATAGGATTCGGCTGTTGTTATTACAATGAGGAAACTCCCTAGAGCCTACATAGGACAGGTGCACAGAACTCATGACTGGGGACCAAATTTAGCTCTCTGGGTTTGCCCAGGGGGCCCTGCCCCTTTCTCTCACCCATGCATTGTTCAGCTTCTGTTTTGCAGTTTTTCTCCCATCCTGAAAGACAGGAAAGCCCTTCCCAAGTTGTAGCAACTGGTGGTAGAGTCTGAAGTCTCCAACCATGGCTGTCACTGGAATCCAGCCCCAGAGAGTTGCGTGGGCATAGTATTTGCCCCCCCCCCATCTGAAATAGGATCAAACCCCCCACCCCAAATTAGGAAGAAGTATCTGAACTTCCCCTAGAAGCAAAAAATGACAAAAAAATTGCCTTCTCATGAGGAGACATCATGAGAAGGCAAGACACTCTGAAGAAAACAATCATGTGAGAGGAAAATTGAAAGCAGAAGAAGAAAAGGAAGACCAAATTTCCGTTTGGCCGCCACCTTGATTGACGAGGGCTGAGCAGGGCTGCCAAGGACCAACCATTTTGGAGGGCTTCCATTCATTGGGTCACCATAAGTCCTAGACAACTTGACAGCACCTTAGAACAAGCTTAACAGAGTAACAGTTCAAAAGCAACAACACCAACAAAAAGCAGCTCCCTATAACTTACTTCAAAATGCACGTTGACATGAGTGCCACCAACCTGAGCAGCACAGTTCCCCAAAACTGGACAGCCTGTGTTCAGCCATAGGCTGTGATCCAAAGATCCATCTAAACTGAACAGCAGGAATTGCATGGCCATGGGCATCCCGGGCATAACTGTTTCTCTGCTCAAGGACTGCGGGGTCAAGTTCTTAATGGATTTCTAACATTTGCTTGCATTTTAAAACCTGCATTTGCATAAGGCCAACTGGACTGTTACCTCCATGAATACCCAGAATGACGTGTTGCCCTCTCCATTGTTTCAGAAGTGTTTTTCCATACAGTATGTGTCTGGAGTGGATGCTACTTGAGAGAAGTAACACTGATCTCTCTGAACTAGCTTCAGCTGGATCAGAGCCCTGACATGTGAACAAGACCTTTCTGCATGAGCCATTCGACTGACTCCAATGGCAAATTAAATAAATGCTAAAATCTCTCTCACCGAAATCTACAGGACTGAAAAGATGTTGGATCATGTTCTTTTAACATTCCCCTTCTGAGTTTTGCTGTAGATTTACAATTACAGAGTTTGCATCTTGTAATTTGTTCACCCTCAAGGCATTCTCCTCTGCCTTGAAAAAGAAAGTAGCAGAAGTTTATCCACTCAGAAATAAACACTGCAATGTAAATAAGATCATTCTGACTGGTCAAACGGGATCTGGTGCTAAACTAGCTGTCAATACTTTCCGCTTAACTGCAGTATAAACCCTTAAACAACAAACAAGATGCATATTAAAAGAACCCAATAAAACTGCAACCCAAATGTGAAATAGTCAGGTGAAATTTACAAGCCAGATTTGCAGCTTAATTCTCCCACTGTATGCTGGGTTTAACACTGAATCTTCTGGGTTTTGAACTTTAGAGGCACATAAATCTTTGAACTTTGAGACTTGTGTGCATCCAATGCAGAGCGAGCTGCTATTGTAGTGGTCCCTGTTCCCTCCATGCCTTGCACTGCGTATTTGGGCAGCTCTTTGGACAGCTTCCTCCTTGTCAGCCAGGCAACCTGCTTCTTCCCCTGTCTGGCCCAGACAACAGCGCTGGTGAGAAAGAGGAGAAGCAGCAGCTGCCTTCTTGCCCCCAGGTTCTCTGCCTATCAAGCAAGCCAGCAAGTGGTAACAGTGATGAGGAAGAGAAGGATGAGCCATTGCAGTCACAATTTGCTACAGTTTAGAGTTACATCCGTGCCCAAGGAAACTGTGGTGAGTCTTTCCAACAGGACCAGGAATCAATAACGTGAGACGTAGTTTCTTCCTGCTGCGTTTCATCTGAATAATAAACCCCCATATTCTTGTTTGGCACCACTGCTGATTTTGTTATCTTTTCAGTTTTGCTTGGAATAAGCCCTCTCAGGCTTCAGGGAGGGTGGGATATTAAAGCTCTCTTTACAACAACAACAACAACAGCAACACTTTCTAGCCCAGTGCCTCCCAATGACCCTGTTGCCTGGTGATGGCGGAAGTTGGTAGTCCAGGCACCAGGTTGTGCAAGTGTGCCCTTAAAGAATTTTGGACAACTCAGCCTTTTGTTTGGCAGCTTCTGGCTCCCCTTTGTTTCTTAGGGAAGCAAATGTTCCCTAAAGTAATTGATATTGACCTTTTCTTTCTCCCATCATGAATGCAGGTTTCTCAGTGCTTTAAACCCCCTTGTGACTACCGCCTCAGTCCTGATGAAAGCTCCCGGACCCCCGGCAGACCCTGTTGTAACGGCCTTTGCCGATCCCCTTGCAGCTGAAAGGAAAACGTCCAGCATTGCGGACCTGAGACTCAAAGCAAAAGAACATTCTGCGCAAATTCCTTCCCGGAGCCTGGCGCCTGCTCACACAAGCGCAAGCAAGGAGCATCTTTGTTAAGCATCCTTCCAGAGACTCAAGTCCTAGTCAAGCCAGAACTGGAACCGCTTTGCTTTCCAAGGACGGGCAAAGACAACCACCCAAGGGAATCCAAAGGAAGTGCCCTTGCTAGAGGAAAACAGGATGGTGCATTGTAATGACTTAACGTATTTCATCTGCTTCCGTATCCCAAACATTTTTAACCCTTATCAGAGAAATGAAAGGTTACTCTTCAACGAAAGTGTAGTGAGAGCAGTCGACTTGGATGGCTTTAAAAGAGAATCCGAGAGGTTTGTGGAGGATAAGTCACATCAGTGGTGAGCTATTAATGTCTAGTGGCAGAAGTAACGTGTCTTTCCATGCCAGTGAATGTGGGCATCCTAGAGGCAGCTAAGTGGTCAGCATGAAAAATGGGATGCTTGACTAATTAAGCTTTGCTTTCATCAAGCATGCCTCTTCTTACATTCTTACAAAAGCTTGCAGTTAAGTTCTAAAAACAGAGCATTTGGAATAGTCTTTTCAGTGAAGTTTATTTCTTTAAATTGTTTTCATGTCTGATCAGTTCCAAAACCGATAGGATAATACCTTTATGGGGCAAGTCAAAGCTTCATATTCATAACCTTTGAGTTGACCTAATCAAAGGATTGGCCCACTGCAGCTTCCTTCACTTCTTGTGAAGTCTGAACATCAGCCTTTAATTCTTAATTATTTGCATGCTCTCTCTCTCTCTATCACACACACACACACACACACACACACACACACACAGAGAGAGAGAGAGAGAGAGAGAGAGAGAGAGAGAGAGAGAGAGAGACTCCTCACATAGGGCAGAATTCTCCAAGCTGTGCTGGGAATTATGGGGATTCTGGCTGGGAATTATCGGAATCAAGGTCCTAAACTTCTAGAGGGTTGGGGAAGGCTGACACACAAGGGCTCTGGCAGTCTTATAAACAAGCCCACAAAAGTTACTAGCATGGAGTAGATTTTGCTAGACTTCTGGAGGCTTACTGAAGAGGTTCAGATTGTTCCAGTCCTCTAAATTTCTGTGCAGGGCACAAAACAGGTGGGGTCTGCTTGGCTTCTGTGATGGGCACAGCCTTTTGTTTTGTTTTGTTTTGTGTTTGTTTGTTTGTTGTTTGCCTGCATGCAGCTTCTCACCAAAACTGTTGATGAAGGGCTTAAGTGCACAGCCAGGCTAAGGATTGCAATCCTAACCACATTAAAGGATAAGGCTGCTGTCGCTAGGCCAGGAATATGTTCCACTGAATTAAATCAGACTTCCTCCATGCTGAGGTTTGGGTGCAAGATCACAGTGGAGCCAAAAAGCCTTATTTCAGAATACCTATTCATGGAACTGGCCTGGGAAATTCATTCTGCAATTCAGGAAGGCCCCATTCAGATCTCACTGAACTCTGGAAAGTCTCTATCTCAAGGTTGGGGGCCAAATGAGACAGCCAAAGCACCCCCCCCCCACCTCCCTCTTCCCCAACCGCAAATGGTTTCACGGCTTTTGCAGTTTTTTCTCCTGTTCTAGGAGGTCGAAATGTCCCTCTTAAGGCCCAGTCAAAGGGGCTTTAAGAGAAAATAGGCTGGTATTTTTTCCCATATTTTGGGCTCTTCCATATTGCCTTTGGCCAAGGAAAAAGACTCCCCACACCAAGAAATTCTCCAAAATTGAATGTGACTCTTCAGCTGAAAGTTGCCCATCTTCTTTTAGAAGGGAATTGGCCATGAAGTAATTTGAGGGTCCCACTAGGATGGGGGAAGACCCTCTCTCAGTCATAAAGCTTTGGGCCAATCGCTTAACTCTCTGTACCTAACACTACTTCACAGAGTTGTTTTGAAAAGAGCATGGACAGGAGAACCATCTGTGCCACTCTGGAGTACAATTATAGTAAAACACTCCTAGTTTTTTCTTCTTTTTAAATATCTTGCTTTATTTCCTCTTCCAAGGAACAGAAGGTGTCCCTCAGCAGCTCCATTTTATCCCCACAGCAACTCTGTGAGGTAGGTTAGGCTGAGAGTCAGTGACTGGCCCAAAGTCACTCTGTGAGCTTCATGACATAATGAAGTCTAGAACCCAGCTCTCCTGCGTCCCCAGTCTATGCATTAAATCACACTGGATCAATTAACTCAACAGGAGTCATTCCCCAGTAACTGTACTTAGGACCACAACCTTAAGAAGTGTTATACAAATGCCGAATATCGCTATTTCTACTATAGGAGCCCCATGTTTGATTTTAAAAGATCATTCATATAAGACGGCTTCACCTAATGCGCAGATAGCTCAGAAACGTAAGTATGATATTAAAATCAAATTTCAATGTGAGGTTTTCACTCAAGACCTGTAGAAAATGTACTGTGTTTTGCACCAGAAATAAATGACTGCTTATATGACTAAGTTAGCTGAGTAAATGTTACACTCAAAGCTTTGGGTATTCATGCTTTGTCATCGGGTACTTTCCAATAAAGGTCAATTGTTTTATTAGTCTGAATTCAGAACACAGACACTGGCTACTGTCATTAATGAAAGACAAGGGTTTCAAAATGCCATGCCATGCCATGGGCAATCCAGTTCATGAAGTCTTTCTTGGAATAATCTAGAATTGTACATTGTGTACTCGCCTGGAGCAAGCAGAGATTGGCACCTGGTGGCTAGGAAGGAAGTCATGCTGAATGTTTTTTTAAGGGTACAAATGAGTTAAAATATATACTGGTAGGCAGGACTGGCTAAGAATCTGTCATGTGGCTTCATGATTTCTTCAAATTTATTTGCAAGGCCTCAGAAGGAAAATCTAGAGGAAATAATAGAACAAACCATGTGTGTTGCACCTGCAGAACAGAACATTAAGGCTTAGTTAATAATAGGGATGGCCCTATCATTAGGCAGAAGGGCATGATTGAGTCAGGCCGGAAGTTGGATGTGTTGGTGGGCAAAGCTTGTAGACCACCTGGCCCTTCCACCTCCTTGGCAAACAGGTTGTGTACTGTATGGCAGAGGTGCAGAAGCTCTCTCAATCCATTTCAGAGACATTCTCAAGAGCCTCATTAGGGAGGGGAGGACAAAGATAAAGCTGCTGCACCGAGGATACTAAAAACACCAGGATATTTTAGCTTAAAGCTCTTACACCCAGTGAATAAGGCATAAGAAAGGCATTTCCACCTTCTAGCATGCAGGGGAAGGGAAGCAACACAAAATTCAAGAAACACTCCAATGAACAGCAAACAGAAGAAAGGGAGGGGGCCACAGAAATGGAACGTGGCTTTCTGAGATACCCCAGAGGCCACTTGAGGCCCTGGGCCAGCAGTTCTGCAGCCCTGCTTTATGGAACACTCCTTCAGGCACAATCTGTCAGGACTCACTCCTGAACTCGTTTAAGCCCTTGGTTTAAAGCATGGCAGTTTAAGAAGGCTTTAATCTGGCATCTTTCTTTTCTGCATTTCCTGCAGTTACATTGTTCCCTCCCGAACATGGCTTTAAACTTGCTTCTTTTCATTAGCTGGGTTCTCGGCTCACTCTGGTCACACCATATGCAGTAGCACATGATTATCATCTTTTGTGGCTGTGATGGAGATGACCTTGTGTGATGCTGTATTGTTTAAGCCACCTAAATTCATTTCTGGAAACAACACAGAGATTAATTTTTCATCAGTTAATTACATACCATCTTAGCATCTATTGCACTTTGAGGGCTGATTGTCCCAGTCTTCAAAACAGTTTTATTTCCAAAATACAGATTATGAAAACTTTGCATGTAAGCAAGGAGGGATTGCTTGGCAAGGAAAGGGGGGCTGGGAGAGACACAGAGGGATAAAGGGTATGTGTGAATAGTAAGCCAGGTGTTAAAAGAAAAGACAGACACAGCAACGCAGTAGGGTGTTCTGACTCACAGATCTGTATTGAGAAGGAAGTATTCATGAAGAAAATTAATTTAAGAAGTATGTAGCTCAGGTTCTGAGCCCGTTAAGTCCTTTTAAAAAACAGATTAGTGATTCAAACTTTTCCTTCTTCTTTTTATTCTAGCAATCTCTTAAACAATTAGCACAGTAATTGGAAAAGGGACTCAAACATTCAGATACAGATGGAGATAAAAGAGTTTCCACGAGAGCTTTTGCTTTGCTTTGTGAGCTGCAGAGACGCACCTGCCTTTAGGATCCGCAGGGTGAAAGCAACGAAGGAAGACACTGAATAAGGAGAGAAGCACACCGAACTGCAACACCATACAAATGACTTAATTCATGTAAAGTAGCCGTAATTGCATTGATCAGGAATGCGTGAGCAATCCTTTTAGTACGTGCCACTGCTGCATGGAAGCGGCCACCTCGCAAAGCAGTCTGCCTGGACTGCATTATCTGGCAACATTTTTTAAAATGCGTTTTTAAGTTGATGCAAATGCAATGTTTTCTACTCTTCCAGCTAGTTTCTGACCCAGTCAGGTCTCCTGGAAGTGTGGAAAACTGAAGAATTTGAATCACAAAGCAATGAGTATTCCATTTATGCATTTTGCATTTTAATCATCAGTTAAATAAAAAAGCAGGTCTTTGGCACTGTAAAATACAGACAGTGAAGGGGGAGAATTACCTCAGGCCACATCAAGACCCACTGCCCCCCTAGGCCAGCTATTGGTTTGGGAAGGTGTATACAGCTCAACAAAACTAAACAGAAGGTGTCCCACGTCAAGGCTGCAGGTGAGCAGGGGGACAGTGACAGGATGGGACAGATGTCACAGCAGCCATGAAGTCCTAGGCACTCCAGATAGGGTGCCTCCAGCATGAGTGTTGAAGTCTCCCAGGTCCAGAAGCCTGGAGAACTCCAACATCACATCCAAGCCATCAGCTCAGGTAGGCAGACTGATGGGGTGCAGGGTGGGCTGTACACCAGCAGAATCCCCCATCTGTTCTGCCGGCCCAACACAAGTTGCAAATACTCTGGACTAGTTGCTGGACAGACAGGGTGCCTGGAGAGGGAGACTGAATTCTTCTAGGCCACGGCAATGCCCCCTTCCTGTTGGAAGTGAGAA